AGAAGACAACCCGGTGTCCTCGCGCCTGACGGGGAGGTTGTCGACGATGACGAGGACGATGACGACGACGACAACGACAACAGCGACGACTACGACGATGATGATGGGCCAGGGGCTCAGTTACGGCAAAACATGGGATTGGGTTGAAAAAAAAAGAAATTCACAGTGTTGCTGTCTCTCTGTGTGTTAGCTTACTATGGAGATACTGGGTTTAATGATAACTGGAAGAACAAGCAATGGAATATATCGATTTATTCTGATACGTACACGTAGGATTCGAGTTATTTATCCAAGTTCTTCTTTCTGTCCGTACAAGGGAGAGCTCGAAAAAAAATTCAATTCAATTGAATTCAATCAATAATCTATTATTGACAACGACATTGACGTTGACCCGACTAAATACAAAGCCTAAGTAAGAGTGACAGTAAGAGTGACATGACAAAAGGAATCAAACGTGCCCCCTGAGATAAAAAAAAAGGAAACGCCGCATGTCAAGTTCTGTTCCCTCTTCTTGTTTTTTTGGTATCCATCCGCATGAAAAAAAAAAGACAGAAAAAGAAATAATAACAAAAAAGGCGAGAGGAGGGAGAGGGAATCAATCGAGGCCATGTATCTACTCGGCCATTTCCTCGTCATGGGTCTCGCCCTCGCCCTCGCCCTCGCCGTCACCCCAGAGCCCTTCGATCTTGAACTCCTTGGCCCATTCCGTGACGATTTCTTTTTGGTCGACACCGGTTCCGGCTGCGGATGCAGATGCAGATCCAGACCCAGATCCTGGATTTGTCGTTGTTGCTGCCGGTTGAGAAGGCGGGGTGACCCATCCCTGGATCCTGCCATCGCGCCAGTCCGTGATCACCGTCATGGCTGCGCTGTTGATGTTGGGCACGCCGCCCTTGCCCAGCCGGCCACGCTTCCGTGCCACCTGGATCAGGAAATCGGTCGTCTTGTCGCCGCCGGTCGGGAACAGGGGAGGGATGCCGTAGACGTCTAGCATCTTCTGGAAGAGAGTCTCGGAGGTGGAGAGGCGCTTGAGCAGGAGGTTGACGGCGGGGATGGGGTCGGTGATTTGTTTCGGTGGGACGGCGTTGAGCAGCACAAGTCTCGCCTCCTCGTTATCTTTCTTCGACTTCTTGCCGCTCTTCTCCGCGTTCGGGAAGACAATTCCAGGCGAGTCGATCAGCTTGAGCTTGCTATCCAGCTTGACTTCCCTCAGGCTGGTGGTGACGCCCGCTTCGGCGCCCGTCGGGCAGGCGTTGCTGGAGCCCCGGTTGAGGCGGGCCATGAGCGCGTTGATGACCGACGATTTACCCACATTAGGATAGCCGATGACACCGACGGAGATGGCCCGTTTCAGCTGCGAGCTCTGCGCGTACGACTTGAGCGCCTTGAACAGCGTCTCAGACGTCCCCTTGACGGTCAGATGCTTGTGGTCGAAGCTGTGTGCGTTTGGAGCGCCGTTGGATGCCTTCAGGGGGAGCGTGGGGAAATATCGTCGAAGATGAACCAACCACCCCTTCAGGACCGGCGGAGGCACCAGGTCAATCTTGTTGAGGATCAGAATGAGTCGTTTCGAGCCGCCGTCCGCGGCCATGATCTCCCGTTCCACTTCTCTCGATCGCGTGCCTTCGGGATCTCGAGCATCAAGGACATAGAGTATCACGTCCGCCGCCTCGGCGACCTGCTTGAACACCTTGTCGTAGGCTTTTCTGGAATTCTCCTTCGAAGCCAATTGCGACGACAGCGTGGGAATGTCGCTCTCCTTCAACAACGTTCCTCCATTCTCGTCATCCTCATCCATCTCATCGTCATCGTCATCATCATCGTCGTCATCTTCGTCCATCTCATCGTCCTCGTCGCTATCTCCGTGTTCCCTCTCGTACTCTGCCGCTCTAGCCCTTGCCGATGCGAGCAGTGCGGCCATTGGATTCGACTCGTCGACATCTTCATCCATTTCCTCGCCCGATAGCGCCTCATCATCTTCAACGATATCTTCGTCCTTGTCCTCCTCCGCATTCTCGTTCTGTGCAGCCTGCTTCTCGGCTTTGCGGCGTGCGCGCGCTTCCTCCCGAGCGCGCTGTAACTCCTCCTGCCTCAGCCGTTTCTTCTCCTCGATTTCATGGAGAATCTTATCTTTGAGAGGGAACAGGTTCGGGATGCCGGGGTCCTTCTTAATCTTGGAGCGCCATGTAGGGTCCTACATAAAAATGTCAGACAAATCGGCCGAATTCGGGACAGAAATCTAACAACGGACCTTTTTTGCCAGCTTCCTCAATTTCCTTTGTTTGGCCCTGGCCGCCTTTTCAATCTTGTGCCGGAGCCGTACGGGCGTCCGCTTGGACTTTTTACCTGTAGAAATCTACTATCAGCAATCCGTACTTTTTTTTTTTCAAACCCCATCATCAACAGATAAAATCTAGTTTCCGATAGAGGAAAAACGAAAAAAAAAGGATTGGAACAACATACCTAGCTTCACCATCTCTAAAACCTAAACCATCTAAGAACAAAAACAAATTCAACGAGATCAGATAAGAAAGAAGAAGAGGATTCTCTTCCTCTATCTGTCTCTGCTGCCCGTTCCGACGACTGATTTTGTGCGGAGCGCAGAAGTTGCGCGGTGCCAAGATTTCACCGCGCTAAGATAAGGAAGATCTGTTTGGCCGATCGCCGGCATCAATTAGGAGTACTCCGTAATAATGGCCGGGCCAGCGATGGCATGGGCCGCACATGGCGGTGGGGGAGGGGCTTATTATTTTACTATCGCTATAGTCAGTTCAGTCTTTACTCTGCTTACTGCCTGCAGTTCCTTCACTTTCTCTCTCGCACAAGCGCTTTTTGTTACTTTCTTTTATAGAAGAAGATAGATTTGTTTGATTCTGGACTTGTCTTTGTTACTTATTCAAATAATAAATTGCTACATCCGTATTTATCCACCATGTCCACCGCAGGACACGGCACGTATTCGGCACCGCCTCAAGTTCACTCGTTCGATGGCCTCCTTTTCGACTTTGACGGAACGATTGTAGATTCTACGGACGGTGAGTGAGCTCTTTACACCTTTTAGCTTAGACTGGAAGGAAACGGAGTCAGAGTACCAAGTGTGTATGTAGTGTACGTGACTAATTCAGCAAACAGCGATCGTTAAACATTGGCATGCGTTAGTGGGACCAATGCCGATTAGAGGAAAAAGAGTTCCTGTCTAACCCCAATTTCTCCGATAAGAGTAGCAAAGGAACTGGGCGTAGACCCCAAAGTCATTCTGGCAACCTCCCATGGGCGGAGGAGTATCGACACCCTAAAACTGTATGACCCTAGCAAAGCTAATTGGGATTGTAAGTTCCGGCCATCAACACCCCCCGCTATTCTGCCATCCCATGGAGTGTTGGCGTTTTGGTATGCTAATTCATTTTCCCTTTAAAACTAGATGTCAGTCAAATTGAAGGGAGAATCCCCAAAGAATACGGCGCAGATGCGGTTGAAATTCCCGGGGCGCGTGACCTCCTCAAGACATTGGAAGATGCAGGTGCTCCCTGGGGGGTGGTTACATCCGGAACGCGTGCTCTGGTCGCCGGCTGGCTCGACGTTTTGAAGCTCGCGCATCCCAAGTTTCTTGTCGTTGCCGAGGACGTGGAGCAGGGCAAGCCGGATCCTCAGTGCTACCTGCTTGGTCGCTCCCGACTGGGCCTGGGTGAGAGTACGTCTATCTTGGTGGTCGAGGATGCGCCCTCGGGTATCAAGGCTGGCAAGGCTGCGGGGTTCAAGGTCGTTGCTTTGGAAACCACGCACACCATCCAACAGCTAAAGGACGCGGGAGCGGACTGGATCGTCAAGGACCTGAGGAGTATCGGCCTGAAAGCGGTGAATGGTAAGGTGGAAATCGAAATCAAGGACGCGCTGCAAGAATAAGTAGGGCCAGACGGCAGCAAGTCCGAGTTGACAAAAAGGAGATGGACAGCGCTAGGATGTTTTGAAACCAGCCTATAGATGACTTCCAGTTAACCTTGCATCGTGCTTAACCGATTCATGGGACTCGAAGTAGATCGTGATGCTGGATAACGGCACGAACGATTGGCCATTTTGCCTGCATATCTGAGAGAAAGCGCCTACTTTTGTAGCTCTTTACCAAGCTAAGATGAGGAGGTAGCTGGTGCAGTTTGGGTTACCGACATGTGACGCATCAGATGCAAAGGAAATCCCGGCCGCAGATCCAGGCTTGCAGGGCCGGAGCACTTGGCATACGAAAGAAGTAACCAGACGAGAAACCTCGGATGCAGTTCCTGCTTCTCCAGAAGCTAGATCGTACATTGGGTGGTTTCGGTAGCAGTGGTATGAATATTGCCAGGGCAATCAGAATAGTTCGACAGAATCGACACCCAATCATCGTCCTGAGAAAAAGGATCTTGGATCTTCTGTATGTCGGTATCCGTAGCCTCAGGAGTAGCGGTATAAGGGGGCACTCTATGACCAGCCACATGATGCGGAGCAAGCCGGTGACTTGTAAGTTAGCAGGCAGGACTGGGAGCATTTTCCGCGTGATCGTGAACGTGACGGTCAATATAAAGAGCCAGAAAGCAACGAGGGACACAATGTGGTAATGTGGTGTTGGCTGCAGTCCCAAACGTGATGCAGAGGTCGCAGGAAACAAGGGGGGGGGGGGGGGAACGTCTTGGGTCAAGACTCAACTGCAGGTAAGATGCTGAATCATCCCGAGAGCCAGTCAGCTACTTGGCAGAGGTACAGTACAGTACAATAAGACTGGAGGGAAAGGTTGTAGCGATAACTCAATGACTTCATCGGCCTTGTATAGTTTTCCCACCTTGTTCTGCAAGGGGTTCAGGGATCCATCCACCAGCTTTCAGAGTACGCCATGATGACCAAGGACGAGTTGGGCAGCCGACCAAAGCAGGATCCACTGGAATGACCACCAGCTCTCGAGTTTCAACAGCGGTAATTACGCTGCTGGGTGAGGAAGGGATATGCCATTGTAGCATTGCCAGATCTGAACAGTCTCGATTCTTTGGCCAAGCAGAGCCAGCCCCACGCACTCTTCGGGAGAGGGACCCGGAGACCTGAGGGAGGAGCAGCTGCTGTTTCTAAATTAGTCACATGTCTCAGCCTGCCTGTGGTGCCGGGAGGAAGGAGCAGAGCAGCAGAACTGCTCCGTCCTCCGTAGATCCAGGCAGACGACGGGCCAAGCTTCATCCCATGGGCTTTTGCCCTGCCATTGGCCGTGATACAAGAGAAAGGGGGTTCTCGAAAGGGCAAATAGGGTGAGTTGAGGCTTGATCCATGCACCGCCACAGGTCCAGAACCGAGTCCTGATACATCGTCCCTGTAACATGTATACCATCCCCAAAGTTACACGGCGCTGATCGTTGCTCTCGGAATAATAGCGGGTGATCTCCAAACATTATTTGGTTTCTTGGGATTTTACCGCTGGAGGCGAGTTGGTCAGTGCCAAGCAGAGATTCAATACCGCTACATGAATGGTCAAGTTTGTTTGAACCCCCTGGAAAGTCACCAGCTCCAGGCTCCAGATTAGTCCTACGCCACCATCGGTGATTTCGTCAGCGTGGAAGATTGGAGTCCAGGCTCTTGCTTGCTGTTTATTATAGACAATCTCTTTCTCTGGCCGCGCCTTCGGAAGTATTTCAGCCATGGCAGCACGATGTCTTTGGACACAAGTTACGTCATTCCAAGTTTGTTGACATTTATGACCAAAAAATCAGAGAAAAAAGAACGGGATTGAAGCTGGTGGTGGGCAGACATTGATTGGCTGGAACATTCTCCCTTGAGGACCTGCAGTGTGCGCCTGGCTGGGACTCGCGATGAGTGATTGGCGTTGCTGAAAAAGCCTCATCTACAGAGGCTCCTGTCAGCCTGCTCTCGTTTCACGAGCTACAAAGTTGTCGAGGTTGGTCCCATGAGCAATGAATTCTGCCCATGAAATTGGCCCTCCCACCTGGCCCCCTTCAAGGGAATCGGGTAGCTACTCGGTTGGGGCCAGAACTGGATTACAAGGCGATGTTGAGAGTTTGCCAGCCCTCTCAGACGCGCGAATGACAACACAGCAGTCCAGTGCCACTGTCCAGGGACCGATCGCGGGGAAGAGCATGTGGTCATTTATGTAGCTAAACGCTCATCAGATCTGCTCCTTTTCCCGGTGATCGACATGATCTGAGAACTATTGATCTTTAGCCTCAGGCATGGAGTCAATCAAGGCCCGTCAGGCTGAGGCCAAGCTTCCCAAGTGGTCTGTGTCCAATGACAGGCATGGTGACGGCATGTCAGTGCTCTGCGGCGGCGGCAGGCAGACAGCTAACTTTTGGGGCCCTTTCCGGTGGTCACATCCGTAACGTTCTTGCGAGGCCCTCGCAAGAAGAAGAAAGAGATTTCGCTGGAAGGCCGGAACTGACGGGACCACTCCGTTACATGGATCCCTAAGGCCTCTACGGAGTAGGCGCAAAGATGAGGACTTGGGCCGTCGGGGAACGGGTGTCCCAGTTGGCAGCCGGTGACCCATCGCATCCGCTGTCAGCCTGTCAGCTAGCCACCTCAGGTTCGTGGTCAGGCATCACCAGCTTGCGAGCTGCGAGAATCGAGCGTGATGAGTGACGATGGACGGGTGTTTGCAGGCCCTGTGGTTTGGGGCAGGTCACTACAGATACAAGATGCAGAAAACGGCCCTAATGCAGGAACGATTCAGGGAGGGCGACTGCCGAGCGCCTGTCGGCGGGCAGAATCGGGCTCCTGTCGATACGCGCCCAGACGTTTCGACAAGCACCCTTGAGTGCTCAGGCGGGGCGCGTTCTCCTCCGTAACTTCTGTGCGACCTCCGGAGTCTGTAGGCGGCACCGTTTGACTTGCTCCAGGGCCAACAGAAAGTGGCTTTCCCGTCGTAGGATTATTCCTTTGTACTGTACTGTACATACTACCATACGTACGGAGCACAGTAACACTCCGTACGTGGTTTCGAGGGAAGGACGATTTGCTGCTGTTTACTCTGTCTGTGTGGACGCGATGCTGGCGACGCGACTGGCAGTGGACTGAGATCCCGTGACGGGAGAATCTGACTGCTCAGATCCCCGAGGCGATCGTGGAAGCTCCGGGAGAAGAGCAGCCGGCGACCACG